ACTGGGCTCCCTGTGTTTTGCAGCAATTTCTCCCCAACTATCCACTTTACACCCCATAATGTATACATATCAATGCTACTGTTACAGCCGTTGTAGGGAACAGTGTGGAGAATCCTTAGAAAACTAGGAATAAGTCTACCATGTGACCCAGCAACCCCACTACTGGGCATGTTCCCGGCTACCTCTTCTAAAGAGAAAGATGTTTGTTTTCTAGATCACCCACAGGCTTGGTGTTACTGTGGAGAATTCCTTCAAAGAGTGGAGAAGAGAGAAAATGAATGAAAAGGGCCAAGGTGTCCTAGATAATAAAGAACTGAGATGGATGGAGGAAGAGAGAGAGAAACTTACAGGCTGGGGATTGGGTAAAGAAAATTTGGAGCTTAAAATTGAGAAGAAAACATTTTTGGCAGCAGGTGCAAACTAAGTGCTGTGTGTTCTGTACTTAGTCACTCAGTCACGTCCTAAGTGCTGTGTGTGCTGTGCTTAGTCACTCAGTCATGTCCTAAGTGCTGTGTGTGCTGTGCTCAGTCACTCAGTCATGTCCTAAGTGCTGTGTGTACTGTGCTTAGTCACTCAGTCATGTTCTAAGTGCTTAGTCACTCAGTCATGTCCTAAGTGCTGTGTGTGCTGTGCTCAGTCACTCAGTCATGTCCTAAGTGCTGTGTATGCTGTGCTTAGTCACTCAGTCGTGTCCTAAGTGCTGTGTGTGCTGCGCTCAGTCACTTAGTTGTGTCCTAAGTGCTGTGTGTGCTGCGCTCAGTCACTTAGTCATGTCCTAAGTGCTGTGTGTGCTGTGCTGAGTCACTCAGTCATGTCCGACTTTGCGACTTCACGGACTGTAACCCACAGACTCCTCTGTCCATGGGGATTCTCCAGGCCAGAATACTGGAGTGGGTTGCCATGCCCTCCTCCTGGGGATCTTCGCAACCCAGGAATCAAACCCAGGTCTTCCACATTGCAGGCAGATTCTTTACCATCTGAGCCACCAGGGAAGCCCCAAACTAAGTGACAGACACTGCGAGCACCAGTGACAAGATTATTATAAAAATACTTTTTTGAGTCATTGACAACAGCTCCTATTTGCCAGCTACAGAACTTTGGAAAATGATGCAAAAAGCAGTAATAGCAGGAAAATGAAGAAACCGCTAAATCCAAGTTAGTTCGAGAGCTTTGGAGAAGACTCATGTGGGGTTTTTTATTTTTTGGCTAATAAAAATTTTCTTTCTTGGTAAAATGAAATACAAGCATAATGGATGGTAATCTACAATTTATAAATTATAATTATTATTGCTATTAATTCTAAGTGCCTCGCCACTTGAACATGTCACAATTACAAGATGTTCCCAGAATCTGCACAGACAAACACGGGTCTAATGAAAAGCCTTGTGATGAGCTTTAGGACGAGAGGTATTCATCCATCCTCCAGTTTGCGATGTGTTTTTGCTTAACTTTAGCACCAGCTGGGTGATGTGTAGTCATGTCTATCTTCCTTTCCATATGGTTTAACTCTCACCCCAGTGATAACTCAGTAATATAATAACCACAGAGCCGACTGACAATCGATGTTAAATGACATTTTAAAGACACATTTAAACTTGCCATTAAAGTTTAATTTGGCAGAGCAAATGGAAAGACCATCAAGACAAAAATCCAAGGAATTTTGACAAATGAAGTGCCTGCTTTGTACTGTTAGGGTTTATAATCATCACTAAAGAGTAGACAACCCTGGGATTTAATGTTGCACTTAGGATATTATGTTTTCTTAACCATGAACAAGAATACAGAGCCACATAGACACTTGGGTTGAAGAATACAGGACAATATTTGTTTCACAAGAGACATAGGACCTTGCACTTAAAATTCTTAATGACTTGGGGGGTGGTGAAATAGGTGAAGGGGATGAAGAGGTACAAACCTCCACTTACAAAATAAGCAAGCCATGGGGACACAGCAAAAGAAATACGGCTGAGAATGTTGTAATACCTCTGTGCGGGGACAATCATCTCATAATGTGTGCTCACGTCAAGTCACTGCACAACGTACCTGAAGCTAGCCTGATATCATATATCAACTATATCACAATTTTTTTAAAAGGGGAAAAATTTGTAATGACTTTATATCCTTTCCTATTTATTTTGTAAATTAACTAGCAAGACCTAGACTCAGAGTCCAAGGTTTTGTATTCCTGAAATCACATTGCATCACATGTTCAAAAACTTTGTTTACTTCACAAGCAGAGACTTTGACCATAACACTAAACATTTAGCAATAGTTTAGACTTTTTAAAAAACTTTTGAAAGTTGCCTCTTTCTGGGTTAAGAGTCTGACTACTGTTCACCAGTAAGCCCTCAGTATCTTTGCTCCAGTGACAGCAAAGTGGATCAGGAACTACGGACACATTCAGAGAGGCTGAAGGCACTTGTCGTGCGCTTAGTGGGCATGGCCACGTGAGTCTAGAAATGCCTAGTTAGCCTGTGTCTGCACTGAGACATCTTTGTGCAAATTCTGGGACCCCCTGCTTGCAAACTGCTTTCACCTTGTAGCAACTGATGTCTTTGCGTGCATAGGTGCCTGCTCAGTCGCTCAGCCAGGCCTGACTCTTTGCGACCCCATGGACTGTAGACCCCATGGACTGTAGCCCACCAGGCTCCTCTGTCCATGGGATTCTTCAGGCAAGAACACTGGAGCGGGTTGCCATTTCCTTCTCCAGGGGATCCTCCCACCCAGGAATGGATCGAACCTGTGTCTCTTGTCTCCTGCATTGGCAGGTGGATTTTTTAACCACTGAGCCACCAGGGAAGCCCCAACTGGTATCTTTATATACTTCAATTTCTATTTTTTTCTAGAGTGGTTATTCTTAACCTTGGATGCACAGTATAATCTCCAACATTGTTTTCAAAAAATAGAAAAATTGAACAGAATTTCCGAGGGGACAGTCCAGGCATTGGGCTTTTTTAAAGCCCCAGGTAATTATGATAGCAGTGGGGATTAAGACCCATTGATTCAGCATGTCAATATTTACCTAAGTTCTATTGATAAGGTTCTACCACACAATCCTCTGTCTTGCCACGTGAGATTACCTTTTATACTTTATATAGTGTGTGACTCCTTGATCACCTGTGAATTACTTCCTAGATTCCACAAATTCAGTCCTTCTTTTGCAAGTATTTCCCAAGCCCTTATTAAGCTGTACTTGGCAGTTGGCATTGGAATCTCAGAAAAACACAAGTCTTGACTGTTGTCCGCAAGGAATTCACAGTTTTCTAGGACTGAGATACAATGCTACAGAAGAAATATAAAACAAAACCCAAGGTACTTGTTTTCCTTGGAAGCATCTGCAGGAATTCCACAGAGGGTGTTTCCCTTGGGTTACGTCTTAGAGAACCTTGAGCTTGGCAGTTCGGAGGGCAGCAGGTGAGGAGGCAAGGACGCAGTTGCCAGATCCAGAAGGCGGAAGGCAGCGGGCTGTGCTCCTGAGAGAAGCCGCATGGCTGAACCCTGCTGGAGCGGAGTATTTCAGGCGAGGAGCGGTGGATGCGGCCTGGGGAGGGCGTGGGCGCGGGATGCCAGAGGCGCCTCAGACGCCGCGTCTGAGAGTGAGAGGCCAGCTCGCGGGCAGCGCAGGGAGGCCCGCAGTCCCGCGCGTCCTGCAGGAAGAACGCCGACCACAGCGGGGGAGACGGGCCGGGCTGAGCAGTGGGAGAGGGGGAAGGCCGGCGCGGCTCGCCCCCGCCCTCCGCTCTCGCTCTGCGAGCCCGCAGCCGCTCGGCGCCGATCGGGGGACAGTCTTAGAGACTGGTCCCGCGCACACCGGCCGTGAGACGCTGAGGGCCGGCTGCTCTCCTCAAGAGGCTCCGGAGAGTCTGTCGTCTCCCAGACCCTGGCCTGAGACGCCCAAGACTGGGCTTCTAGCAAAGGACTGAGGGCATCACTCGGAACCCGGTGGGGATTTTGCTGGGAGGACGCATCAGCCCAGAGGTTCGGGTTTTAAACTCGGTGTGGACAGTTCCCACAGCCGGGGCCCAGAGTCTGCGGAGGAGAAGCGGAGCCAGAGGAAACGAGCCTGACCCCCGGCTCCTCACGGAGCCTCCGTCAGGGAGCCGGCAAGCCCGCCACGCAGCAGGGAGTGCGGCGTCCTGGGCGGGGCCGGAAGCTCCATCGGGGTCCGCTGGCCTGAGCCCTGCTGGCCCTGCGTCTTTTAACCGTGGCCTCGGGGGCCAGCCACAGCCCAGGGCCGAGTCCCATCTCTAAGCTGGGATGAGGACTGCCCGGTGGCCCGGCGGTTAGGGCTCGGAGCGGCCACTGCAGGTGTCCTGGGGTTGACCCCTGGTGGGGGAGCTTAAGATCCCACACGCCACGTGGTGCAGCCAACAAATAAAGAAAAATACATCGGGGTGAACATAAAACCCACTCCATGTGCCGGAGGTCAGGATTAAATTAGGGCGCACACAGAGCGCTTACAAAACGCCGGCCTAAGCTGAGTGCTGGGTGACGTCCGGCTCTCCTTAACACTCTCCTTAGCATTAATAGCGGTGCCTCGGATGTCTCACAGCAAAGTCTGGGAATTCCTGGACAGAAGCATGTGTTTGTGCACGAAGGCACCAAAACACAAATAGGTTTCAGTGAGACTCACTGAACTGGTCCTCATGACCAGAAACCGCAAAGAACGGGAGACAAAAAGAATGACAGCCATTTCAGGCCCTGCTGTCAAGGGGGAGTGGGGGTTATCTCTAGGCGGCAAGATACAGGCATTTTACTTTCTTCCTCTTTTTCAATACATCAGATTTTTGTATCATTTTCTTTTTACTGATTTTTAAAACCCCAGCAATAGATAAGACAGAAAATCTGTTTCCACATTTGGGGAAAAACAAGATGTGTCTGTATGAAAATCCACACACACAAAAGTAGGGATGCAATTCACACACGTTTAATAGCTTCCCGGGGAGCTATTTACCAAATCACCTGGTTCCCTGGTAAATCACTACACGGTTCCCCGAGCTTCAGTGGAGTCCGTACTTCGCCCCGGTGGTGTCCAGTGGCCACGAGGAGCCCCAGCCAGTGCCTCCAGAGCTGTCTGCTTCACCCTCGGTCCGGCCCTGATGTGCGCGTTGGGGTTCACCCCAGCTTCCTCCCTTTCCCCACGTCACACAAAGCCCCAGGTTAGGACAAAAGGCTGTGACATTCTGGAACCCAGAGAAGAGAAGCCCGGGACCCCACACACAGGTGTGACACATCAGCGTCGACACCAGAAGGACCTCGTTGCTCGAGACGCTGAAAGGGAACGAGGGTGAGCACACGAGGACCTGAGAACAAAGTGCTGAGAATGCGCTTGCTGATGACCCGACGTAGAAGAAGATGAAAAGGCAGCCAGAGAGACTGACGCGACTCTTCCCAAGAAGTTCTCTGATGAGCGCAGATATAAAAAGACCATGTTAAAAAATAAAGATAGAAACGGATGGAAGGAGGGGAATATTACGTGGAATGAATCCATGTGCAGCACAAACCAAGTCCGCAAACCATCAGGGCCTCAGCTGACCCCAGCGCAGGACAAGTTAAAGTCTGCAAACCATCAGGGCCTCAGCTGACCCCAGCGCAGGACAAGTTAAAGTCTGCAAAGACAACCAAGTCTGGGAGTCAGAAAAGGAGGAGGTTGGTACACATGGAAATTACGTGTATCTTCCTCATTATAAGAGGAATGTTGTATTGTTTGCATAAATCTGGAAAGCAGACCTATGAAGTGAAGTGAAGTGAAAGTTGCTGAGTCGTGTCTGACTCTTTGTGACCCCATGGACTACACAGTCCATGGAATTCTCTAGGCCAGAATACTGGAGTGGGAAGCCTTTCCCTCCTCCAGGGACTCTTCCCAACCCAGAGATCGAATCCAGGTCTCCCGCATTACAGCCGGATTCTTTAACCAGCTAAGCCACAAAGGAAGCCCAACAAATATTTAAAAATCCCATAACATCTCAAACTGCCCTGTGGTTCACTGGTTAAGACTCTGTGCTCACAATACAGGAGGCACAGGTTTGGTCCCTGGTCAAGGAAGATCCTGCATACTGCAAGGCCAAAAGCAAACAAAGAAACAAACAAAAACTCAAAAATGTCTTCCAAAAAAATCTTAAAACTTCACAATGTAGAGTTAAGTCATTTTGGCATTTTTATATATCCGAATCAAGGCCATATTCAGAATACAATTTGGTGTTTTATTTTCCTGTCATAGGTGCTTTCCTGGATCATTATTTTATGCTCTACGAGCGTGCTTCCTGAAAGTAACTCCGTACTCTTCCATCGTCTCTACTTTAACCATCTCCCTGCTTTTGGACATTCAGTTGGTATTTTGCAACATTATGAATAACCCCACAGCTAAGTTCTTTGGCAAAATCATTGGATAAGTTTCTTCCTTAGAATCTTTTTTCTAGAGGTGGAATTACTTGGGGCAAAACATTTTTAAGAATCTTTATATATACGTCTTGCTGCCTTTCAGAACAGTTAGCCCCATTTATTTGACAATGTTTAAAAGTTCTAAACACAGTGCAATGCTAACTGACCCAGAGGGAGCTCTGTATTTAGCTTTCAGTTTTCATTTGGTTTATCCAAACAAAGAAAATTACACTTACACCGAAAAAGGTATAAAATACACCATAGAGATGGAATTGAAGCTTTCCTAGAAAATCATTTAAGCTACCAGTTGTCCCAAATGCATTTCAGGGCTGTCAACACAGGAAAACATATCTCAGGTTGAGTGAACTTGTAACTGTGACCACAACATCACTGTCATCAATCTTTACATTACAGGATATCAAGGAAGACAATCCAGTACCACAGGCATTTTATTTTAAAACACATATGGACCACATTGTGATCTGTGTAAAGAAAATACAGAAAAATACTGGAAGTTAATTCACCAAAATGTGAAGAATAATTCAGTTAGGAAGAGATTTTTTTACCTTGTTTACTTTCCTATTTCATGTAGTCTGTATCACTTGATAGTGGGAGAAAAGGGAATTTTTTAAAATGATAAGCAAGAGAAATCCCTGAAGATACAGGAAGAAAACCAATGGATCGTGACATTTGATATAAACTCACAGCCTAGGGGTAAAAATTATTTAAGAAGATGGTTTGTGTGCATTTCAATGAATGGGAATGATCACTAAAAAATGTGTGACCTCTTCCAACAGGTTACAACAAACAAAGCCCAGTTCTGTTTCTGATGTTTTCTTAGGAGAGTAAATAAGAAGCGCTTTCATGATAATGTGTCTCCATTCTAGCAAAGCATTTGAAGACTTGTCTTTTAATAGTGCCCTTGGTAGTAAGATGGGCTTCCCTTGTGGCTCAACTGGTAAAGAATCCGCCTGCAATGTGGGAGACCTGGGTTTGATTCCTGGGTCGGGAAGATACCCTGGAAGAGGGAAAGGCTATCCTCTCCAGTATTCTGGCCTAGAGAATTCCATGGACTGTATCGTCCATGGGGTTGCAAAGAGTTGGACACGACTGAGCGACTTTCACTTTCACTTGGGAGTAAGATGGGGCTTCCCTGGCGGCTCAGAGGTAAAGAACCTGCCCGTCAATGCAGGAGACACAGGAGCCATAGGTTTGACCCCTGGGTCGAGAAGACCCTCTGGAGAAGGGATGGGCTGCCCACTCCAGTATTCTTGGCTTGAGAATCCCATGGACAGAGGAGTCTGGAGGGCAAGCGTCTGTGGGTTGCAAAGAGTCAGACACGACTGAGCGGCTGACACTACCTCTGCTGCTACTAACAGCATTATCAGTCGGCTGAGCAGCTGCCCGGACAAACTGTAAGTGTAAAGTTCTGCTCAGTAACTGTAATATGAAAAAATCAAGTCCCAGGGGGTTTGATTAGCTCTGATGGGTCTAAGTTATATGAAAGCAAAGAAGGCTTGGGTTTACCCTTTTTAAGAGAGTAAGAGGCACAAATGTGCCCCAGCAATATGATTTATTGCTGTTTGTGTTATTTTTTGACTATGTGGCTTGTGAAAGCTTAGTTCCCCAACCAGGGATTGAACACAGGCCCTTAGCAGTGAAAGGGAGGAGTCCTATCCATCAGACCACCAGGGAATTCCCTTATTGCTGTTTATTCTAAATTTAAATCTTTAAAGTGAGTATGGGCTTCCCTGGTAGCTCAGCTGGTGAAGAATCCACCTGCAATGTAGGAGACCCTGGTTCGATTCCCGGGTCGGGAAGATCCCCTGGAGGAGGGAAAGGCTGCCCACTCCAGTATTCTTGGGCTTCCCTGGTAGCTCAGCTGGTGAAGTATCCACCTGCAATGTAGGAGACCCTGGTTCGATTCCCGGGTCGAGAAGACCCCCTGGAGAAGGAATAGGCTCCCCACTCCAGGATTCTTGGGCTTCCCTGGTGGCTCAGATGGTAAAGAATCTGCCTGCGATGCAGAAGACTTGGGTTTGATCCCTGGGTTGGGAAGATCCCTTGGAGAAGAGTATGGCAACCCACTCCAATTATCTTGCCTGGAGAATCCCCATGGACAGAGGAGCCTGGTGGGCTGCAGACCATGGCCATAAAGAATCAAACACTACTGAGTGGCTAAGCACAGCACAGAGTGAGTGTGGACATCCAACAGTTTGATTTAGATAGACCCCTCAAGTAGACCATGGATCTTAGGAAACATTCCTGCAGTATCTCATTATACAACCATCACAAATATATCAAGGACCTTTACAGATGATTTCCCTGGTCTCCCAGGTAAAAATACATCCAACTGATTATTTAACTCGTCTACAGCATTTGTGTTTTCCTTCTGTTTCTACATGTTTGCATATTAGTTTCTTCAGCACAGAATCCCTTCCTTCATATATTTGCGCTGCTCCAAAGCCCTAGAAACAAGGGTCCTTGCACTCCACACAGAAAAACACAATCTTCTATCCTCAGGTCTCTTTATGAAAAGATGATAATTTAGAAAAACTTTCCAGAAGAAAACTATAGAATGTTCTCCTCTATTCAATACTTTCAATAAATTGGATGAAGAGTTGAAAAATTCCATAAATTGTAAGTTGTCATATAGCAGAGAGAATGTGGACAGAGTTGATAGCAAAAAAACAGCTCATCAGCCAGAAAACACGGGATAAATCTCACAAGATACCTGTAAATCTCAGTGTGTAGGTTGATTAAGTAGGGGACAGAGCCGTTCTAGCATGAAGAAATTCTAGATACTTCCACAGACAGCAAGTTTAGCCTGATTCAATAGTGACCTGGCTGAAATACCATTGAATTAGACTGTGTTCAAAGACACAGACAGACAACTTCAACCTTGGGCACAGTTGCTTTGTCTGATCAGACCGAAGTCTGGCTGTTTGCAAAGAACACATTGAAAAGTCAGACCCTCTGAAAGATTAAAAAAAAAAAAAAACTCTGAAAGTCATGTGATAGAACAATAATTCAATGAATTGTGGATGTTTACCCTACAGAGGAGAGAAGACTTAGAAAACTGTCTCCCAACATTTCAACAGCCATTATGTGGAAGAAGTTTTAAATTGATTTTCAGTTGTCCCTGAGGGCAGAACTTCACTTAACGAACAGCACTTATAGAGAAGAAGGATTCTATGTTTCAAATAAAAGATTTTCCAGCAATTGGATGGGTTTATTCAAGAAGTGGTGCTATCATATGATATTTGTCTTTCTCTGGCTTACTTCACTTAATATGGCAATCTCTAGGTCCATCCAGGTTGCTGCAAATGGCACTATTTCATTCTTCTTTGTGGATGAGTAATATTCCATTGTGTAAATATGCCACATCTTCTTTATCCATTCATCTGCAGATGGACTTTTAGGTTGCTTTCCTGTCTTGGCTATTATTATAAACAGTGCTGCTATGAACACTGGGGTCTGGGTATTTTTAGAATTACAATTTCCTCCAGGTATATGCTGAGGAGTGGGATTGCTGGATCATAGAGTAGCCCTGTTTTAGTTATTTAGGGAACCTCCATACTGTTATCCATAGTGGCTGCACCAGCTAGCCCTGTTTTAGTTATTTAAGGAACCTCCATACTGTTATCCATAGCGGCTGCACCAGCTGACATTTCCAACGGTGTGGGAGGGTTAGCCTTCTCTTTCAGACAGCTGCCTGGTATACCTGTGTGTGGGTAAATCATGATTTACTGAAGCAGTGCCCTGGTGATGGGTGCTCACCCTGTCTCCATCTTCTGCTAGTGCACACAGTGGTGCTGGGACCTCCTTTGACACGCTTCTTTGTGCACATGCATAAGCATATTCATAAGATGAATTCCTAAAAGTGGAATCACTAGACGGAGGGTGCATGCCTTTTAAATTTTAATAGATGTTCTCAAACAGTCTTCCGTTGGAATTTGGCAGAGAGGATGGAATTGCCTTTCACTGAGATCGTAGCAATTTCACAGCCACCAATAATGTATGAATGCTGGCAGTTTCAGTTCGGCTCGGTGGACTTTTCCTTCCGTGAACACCAGATGGCGGAACAGGCCCTGATGTGTCTGCCACGGGCGACTCGCAGACAAGCTGCAAAGACTTGAAGCCTGGTTTTTGGTTCCATCGATTCAGACTGAGTGCGTGCATGTGGCCGACCAGTGGTGCATCACTGAACTTCTGTGGGTAGAGGTGTCTTGGTTCATCAGTAGCAGATGGCAGCCCCTGCTTTATTTCCCCCCCTTTACTTGAGAGCACCTAAAAAGACCCTCACCTTTGGTCCACAGCTCCTCCCCGTTACCCAGACAGCACCTCTCCTCCAGCCGAATGAACACGTGCGAACAGAACAGAGAACACCAGTCAGCAATCCAAACTCTTACAGCTACATTTATGTGTGAAAGTGATTTATTTCGTTCATGTTTCTGCAACAAGGGAGTGTAGGAACATATGTATGTCACAGAAGAATATTTCTTCGAGCAAATAGAAATGAATAATTAAAGTTGATATATTTACTATGATAAGGCTTCCATTTGGCAGAACACCAGCAAATCAATTTCACAGCAGAAATACTTTTTATTTTTTCCTGGATAGTGTGTCATTTGAGCAGAATAACTTCAATTAGAGTTGTACCTGCTTGGCAACTGATGAGCACAATTTGAGATGGGAGTTTATACAGATGTTCTGTGCTGTGCTTAGCTGCCCAGTCGTGTCCGACTCTTTACGACCCCGTGGGCTGTAGCCCGCCAGGCTCCTCCATCCATGGAATTCTCCAGGCAAGAATACTGGAGTGGGAAGCCTATCCCTTCTCCAGAGGATCTTCCCGACCCAGGAATTGAACCAGGGTCTCCTACATTGCAGGTGGATTCTTTACCAGCTGAGCTACCAGGAAAGCCCCATTTATATATACCCCCAGGCTCCAGCCCACTGCCCACAAATATGGAAAACCTACTCACCTGTGTGTATGTGCCCACCTGCACAACATTCTCCAAACTGCAGGGGAAGATTTGGTAATCAATCCATCATTCCCCTCAAAGGTCACCAGGTAGGAGGTTAATGAAACTCTTCTCCTGAGCTGCCTAGATAGGACCTGTATCGACACCCTATTACAAGGTCGATTTCTGCTCCTTCTGAGCAAATGACAGAGGTGTTATTTGTAAAGTGTATAAGAAGAGATGCGCCTAGTTTTAGGAAAAAAATCATCTAGTTGTAGTAGTTTCTTGGGACACTAAAGTCCTTAAACTGAACAGAAAGACATCCAGCCTGGAAGAAAGAAAGTTAAGATTGGTGACGATCTGTTATGTGTCATTTATCTCAGACCTAGACTAGGGAGTCATGGCCCAGAGAAATCAAATGACTTGTTCAAATGAATACAACTTGGGCTTCCCAGGTGGTACAGTGGTAAAGAATCTGCCTGCCAATGCAGAAGAAGTGGGTTCATTCCCTGGGTCAGGAAGATCCCCTGGAAAAGGAAATGGCAGCCCACCCCAGTATTCTTACCTGGAGAACCCCATGGACAGAGGAGCCTGGGGGCTACAATCCATGGGGTGGCAGAGTCAGATACAGCCGAGTGACTAACAGACACACACACACGCACACATCTGATTCCACAGCCCACAGCTGCTTCTATTATCCTCTAGAAACTTCTAATAGCAATACTGATCCGCCAAGTGTTCATCTGTCTTGAAGCTACTCTTCACACACGATTGTAATAAGCTTCATTTTATGGTTTCCCAGATCTAAGATAAGAAATGAGAGAGATGCTGCTAGGAGCTGGTTACAGGAAACCGAAAGCAAGAAATGGATCATGTCTGGAAGGAAACAATACAAACTATTAAAAAGGAACTTAGAAAACATTTTTTAACTGTATCACTTTATGATCAGAGAGAGCTACGCAAGCTAGCCACACAAATGGAGAGTTGAGACCTCCCTGGTGGTCCAGTGGTTAGGGCTCAGTGCTTTCTCTGTGCAGGTCTTGCTTCCATCCCTGGTCTGGGAACTAAGACCCCACTAGCCCCATGGCGTGGGCAAATTTTTTTAAATGTGTGAATGAAATGTTTGCACCTTGGTTTACATCCCTGGATATGTTCCAGTGTCTCCTAGCTTATAGTCTATGAAAACTTGAATAGAATTTTTATCCTACTGTTGTGTGAAAATTGTATAAATGTTATGTTGAAATGATTCATGGTGTTTTTCAGGTCTACTATATCCATCTACTTTTCTGAATATTCATTCTATTAATTTTTGAGTTTGATATTGAAACTCCAACTAAACACTCTTAATTTATCTGCTTAAAAATAATTGCAATATATAGTGGGGCCATATGTAACTCTGTTCTGTGTTTTCCAAGTCTTCCGTAAATGTGTTGTCATACTTCCACAATTTAAAAAATAAAAAAGAAAGAGAAAAAATGAGTGAAAATGTGGAAGGTCTGGGGCTCCTTTGTGTAAGGGTCAACACTTCAAAATGTCTTGAACTTGTCATATCATAATGGTGGGTTTGCATGCAGTGAGGTGTGAAGTGCATTTCTGAGAACTCTGCATAAGAAACAGTTCCAAGGAGAAAGGCTTTGGCTCTTGAGGAACCAATAGGAGCCAGGTATGGGTCAGTCATGCAATTTCTTTTAAAATTTCTATAAATTTCTATTTATTTTAAAAATTATGGTAGAATATATATACATACACATAACACACGCATCATCTTGGCCATTTTTAAGTGTATAGTTGAGCAGACTTAAGTACATTCACACCGTACTGAACTCTTCATCTTATGAAATTCTTTCACACGGAGTCTTGTGTTTCTCACGTCCACCATCGCCACAAACCAAGCTGACCTTGGACTCCTGCGCCCGCCTCTCCTGTTGTCCTATTTTTATTGATAAAAGAGGCCTTGCTGCCCCCAGCCCTGGACGTCCCCCTGGACAGACCACGGCTCTGCCATGCTTCTGATGTGCAGAGGAGGCTTAACACGCTGATGTAAGCCTCTGAGATGACAGGTAAGACTCCTGAAGGAGCTGACCCATCCCTTCACCCTTCTCTCTCTCTCTCTCACACACCCCCATGAGACTGCTCTAGAAGACTGCAAACACCCTCTAAGCCACTGAGGCAACCGTGGGGTCGGCCCCTTAGCAGACTTGTTTGTTGCTGTGGCAACATTCCCAGCCTGGGTTTGTTTGTTTGTTTTGCTCACTGAATTATTTACAAAAAGACGGTGAGCAGGAGACCACCTATCAGAGTCTGCAATTCCAGAGAAGCAGGACGAAGGCGTGCAGGTGAGGGTCCTGTCCGCAGGAGCGGACTCCGGTGCTCGCCGAGTAGGCCAGCCAACGGGAAGCCGGCGCTGCTCAGCAGACCAGGATAATTCACAGCTCCGCCGGGGAGGCAGTGAAGTCTCACTGGGGGAAAGGGAAGAGAGCTTCTACCTGACGGCTCATCAGCCTGGCCGCATTACTGGCCCCTCTGCAGGCAGACGGAAGCGGCAGGACAGCACTCGAGGAGCGGCTGATCTGAAGGCCATCAGCGCTCGGCGGGGAGCTGAGCAGGCGCGGTGGCTCCGGCCGTAAGTGGCGCCCGCCAGCGACACGCTCTCGCTCTGCACGACCGTCCGACAAGCCCCCCCGGAAGGCGCGGCTGATGAAGCAGCAGCGGTTCGGGAGCTCGCGTGGCGGTGGGCTCTCGGAGAAACAAGGCCGACGTCTGGGGTGCGGCGGGGTGCGGCGGGCGGGAAGGGGTGGGGTGTGTGGGTGGGGTTCGGTGGGGTGCGGTGGGGTGGGGTGGACGGGGAGGGGCTCTCGCTCCACCAGCAACTCCTGTTCAAACTGCTCTTTTAAAAGAATTCCTTATTTATTTGTGGCTGTGCTGGGTCCCTGGCTGCGCGTGGGCTTTCTCGGGTGCGGTGCTCAGGCTCCTCTTGTGGAGCAAGGCTCAGTACATGTGGCGCACGGGCTTAGTTGCTCTTCGCGGGCCAGGCATCAGGGTGGACCACGTCCCCTGCACCACCATCAAAGCCCCGACTGCTTACTCATCCTGGTGCTCAGCCCCCACTGCGTCCCAGGCACTGTGCTGGGTGCTCTCCATACCTCACGGAATCCTCATGGTTCTAGGACACCGTATGTTCCCCTCTCTCAGATGCAGAAACTGAGGCTCTCGGAGGTTAAGCACCTTGCAGCTGCTCTGACCTAGAGCTGGGATTCAGACACAGCACTCTGACTCCAGAACCTGCCTCTGAGCCCCCTCACCCTTGCTTTCAGGACAGAACACCAGTCTTCAAAGGCATTTCAGCTCTGTGGGCTCTTGGACTCGGGAACCAGACTCTTCCCAGAGGCGTCTGACTGGCTCTCTTCTGTGGTTAGGAAGTGGGCAGCTTGAGCATTTCTGGCCAGGAGAATGGTCCCTGAGCCTGGCTGAGCTCCAGAACGGCCTGGGAAGATGCTTGAACAGACAGGTGCCTGCCCTTCTGCCCGAGCCTCCCAACATCTGCTCAGGACCTGGATGAACTTTTATGTTCCTCCGAGAGACTGTGAGGCACTGCAGGTGGGTGCGTCGCTGTGCTGGCGACTCGTGGTTGCGTCGGACGCCCCAGTAGTTCAGGTTTTGGTCTGAGAGCTAGGGACACAGTCCTGAGATTGCAGAAGGCCTCCAGGGAGCCAGGAAGAGAGGACCACTGCTCAGCTGGGAGTGATGTTGAGTGAAGCATCAAGGAAGGAACTCAAGCAGCCAGAAAGAGATGACACCAAAGACCAAGCGGAGGAAAGAGCCCAGGGCTGGAAACCCACATCGAGCTTAGACAGAGCTCCTACTGGTCAGAAACACGCAGCACTGCTCTGCTGCCCAGAGCCAGCTTGCAGAGTTTGCTTCTGTGATGAGGAAACTCACATGCTGACTCGGCTGTACAGTGACTGACTACAGTGACCCTGCAGTGAAAAGCAGAAACGTTACCTGTTGACCGTGAATTCTGCACCAAGGATCCCACTGCTGTACATCTCAAAATCAAGTTTCAACCGCTTTGGGCCCCTACCTAGTGACTGGCAGAAATATCAGCCCCAAGAGATCCTGGAGGGTCCGTTCTTCCCCTTCTTGTTCACAAAGCCCCCCAGCTCCTGTGGCGTTAGAAACCTCGGGGTGGAGACTGGGGCCGAGGCTTTGTCCAGGACGGTCCCCATCTTCCAAGTTGCTCTTTGGCCTCCAAGATGCTGCAGACAAACCCTGGTCCCTGCTAAGACACAGTCCCTGATCCTCAGGCATGGATCACTGCTCTGGAGTGGGGAGCCCTTGAAACATCCCCCATAAAGGCCCCTTCACTGGTGGGAAAGTGCTGCAGGCCAGGGGACCCCAAATGCATAGTCTAAGGGAGGAGCACCCCTCTGGCCGTGTCCGCCTCTCACAGGCCCTCCCAGCTGTCACAGCCTGGTGATTTCTACATCGTGCCCTGCAACAGGGCTTCCCTGATGGCTCAGGGGTAAAGAACCCGCCTGCCAATGCAGGAGATACAAGAGATGTGGGTTTGATCCTTGGGTCGGGAAGATCCCTGGAGAAGGGAATGGCAACCCACTCCAGTATTCTTGCCTGGAGAATCCCACAGACAGAGGAGCCTGGAGGGCCGCAGTCCATGGGGGTCACAAAGAGTCAGACACGACTGAGCCACAACACACATGCCCGGCGGGTATTCCTTCCCAGGATGAGGAGTGACTGGGGCGTGGAGAGAATGTTTCTCTTAGGCACTCCCCCCGGTCCTCCTGCGACGTCCAGGCTGGATCTTAGGAGGCCAAGACGGCTCCCTTCTCCTGTCACGACTTTCAGCATCTTTGGGAAACAGACATATGCATATCCGGTGACAGCGGCCCTGCTGTCAGAGCAACTGCGCGGTGATCTGGAGGCCAACAGAGAGAAGATGGTCCCCAGCTCCGCCCAGGCCCCCAGGAACATGCGCTGCTCAAAGCACGCTTTTCTTTCATCACCAGCTGAACCTGCTTCATTCTGCTGCTAAGAAAGACTGAATCTTGCCTAAAAGCAGCCACATCCATGATATTAAGTCTGGCCCTATGATCCGAGTTAATAAATGGCGATCGACTAACATACCCTGACCCTCCTCTGCTGACTCCAGTCTAGACGTGTATCAGTCAGGGCTGCGAGTAACTGGCAAGTGATTCTGGCAGGTATGAGCACAGGGGAATGTGCTGGAAGGGTGTCCGGAGCTCATGGACTCATCAGGAAGTCTGGAAAGGAGGCCTGGAAAAGGCTGGACCCTGGAGGTGAGGCCACAGGAAGCCCAGACCATCCACCGTGCCTGCAAAGACTGCAACACGACCACGTTGATCCACCCCCTCACTGCAGCACTATCGTAGGAGAGTTCTCATCGCCAAATCAGAGCGATGTTCCGTGGACTTGTGGTTGATGGGGGAGAAATGCGGGGAAGGGACAGTTACGGAGTTCGGGATCCACACGCACATGCTGCTCTATCTAAAGTAGATAACCAACAAGGACCGATGCACAGCTCAGGGAGCTCTGCTCGGGTTCTGAGGCAGGCTGGACGGGAGGGGAGTTTGGGGGAGCATGGGCACATGTGTGCGTATGGCCGAGTCCCTTTGCTATCCACCTGAAACTATCACAACATTGGTAACCAGCTATACCTCCATCCTAAATTAAAAGTTTCTAAAAAAGAGCAATGTTCTGATGGACGATGGAAGAAAACCAAAGTAATGGCACCAGTAAAATAAGACAAAGGAGCACAATTAGGGGGCTCCAGCAGGCAGAGGCAGGGAGCCGATGGGCCCTGTGGGCGAGAACCTCGTTAATTCCCGCGGCCGCCCCCAGAGGTGCGCGCAGAGGCTGGGAATGTGCCCGGGGCTGCCCTGTGTTTGAAGGAGCCCAAGAGGCAGCCAGGTCCGTGTGGTCCCAGCCTCTTCCCCTCCCCAGCTGACCCCGCGCCTGCTCCTCGCCACCGAGCTGCCATCCCCCGTTGCACTGGACTGAGAGTCTTTTTGGCTCCACACCCTCCTGCATAGGAGGCCAGCGGCCTCTCTTTCAGCCCCAGGGACTTCCTCTCTCTGGGAAGTGGCTGGTTCTCCTTTTCCCTGGATGGAATGTCGTTTCTGTGCACTTTTCAGCAATTTCACTGATTGAACGTGGCTCTGAACTTTTTCGCCTTTGACACATCAGTGCTAACATAGTCCTCGAGGACGGGGGTGGGGGGCATCCCCGTTGGAGGGGAAGTCCGCAGGAGGGCAGGAGTTCTCACGGAAGGAGCTGCTGCGGAGTCCTTGGTTAGGACCACGCATGCCTCGGGACAAACACTGACAAACCAGCCACAGCCGCACTTTCTGGCTGCTCCCGGGGCTGGAAGCGGTAATGCCTTTGCACTTAGGGACTTGGCAGCAAATCAGTCCCCTCATTAAAGGTGTTTGGCAAAGGGGGCAAACCTGCCTCCCTATGAGTTTGTAATAACAACATAAAACAATGTTGGCTGCACTCAGTGGGAAGAACACCAGCTTTAAGGTCAGAAGACCTGTGTCTGAGGCCAGGCTTGGCCACGGACCAGCTGTGTGAGTTTGACCGGGTTCCTTAAGCTCTCTCAACCTCAGCGTCTTCTCCTGCAAAACCAGGATTTGGTGACAGTCAAGTAAAAGTATACTCATGAGAGTCTGCACAAATATTAGCTTTGATGCTAAGCTGGAAGGTACTATCCCTGGTACTTTGGTACTATCCCTAGAAGGCTTTGCAGGGGGCTCAGTGGTAAAGAACCCGCCTGCCAATGCAAGACATGCAAGAGATACAGGGTCTGTCCCAGGAAGATCCCCTGGAGGAGGAAATGGCAACCACTCCAGTACTCTTGCCGGGACAATCCCATGGACAGAGGAGCCTGGAGGGCTGCAGTCCACGGCGACTTAACGACCACACAACAACTGTTATTCCTAGAAAGACTGTATTATGTTGCAGCTACTTACCTGCACACCAGGCTGATATCAGAAGACCAAGCAATTATTAATAGCATGTGCGCCAGAAACTGAGTCATCGATCTAAGCCTTGTGTTACAGACGCCCATTGTGTGAACAAGAGGAAGAAAGGGCACTTGGGAAAACTGCGTGTACAAGCCTCCAGAAGAGCCCAGGTGTTTTCCAGTGGGGGTCCTGGAAGTGCAACCTCCCAATAAGCAGTAGAGGCAGCACCTGGGAATTTGTTCAAAATGCAAATTCTCAGGCCCCACCTGGCTCGATGAAATCAGAAACTCTGGAGGTAGGCCTCTGTCATCTGTATTATAACAAGATTAAACAATTATTTTTAATTAAATTTTTTAACTTAATAAAAATTTAACAAGATGAACGCTCTTCAGATGGATGAAGTTTGAGATCTGCTGCTTTAAAAACATGACCTCGGTTAGTTGTCACAGCAAGGCAGCTTTACTATTTCCATTTTAGAGTTGAGGAAACTGAGCCTCAGAAGAGAAGTAGAATTTGCCTGATTCACAGGAATTGTCCGACTCCTGCACACTCCCCTGCTCTGCCGAGGGTTGTCTGTTAGACAGTCTCCATGTCTAAGACGGCCTCTCCTGTAGATGACTGAAGAGTCGGCACAAGCCCCCAGACCAGCCTGTGCAGTGACCACACGTACCAGGGAGATGCATCACCGGGAAACGCGGCCAGCGAGGGCTGTGCTCCGTGCCACGGCGACTCACGGAGCCCGGGGCCCTGTTCTGGGGATGAGGCCTCTCCAGCGACCTCTGCACACCCTCCTGAGGCTTTCCCACGCTCCTGAGGCTTTCCCACCTTCCTGAGGCTTTCCCACCTGGTTCCTGTGCTGCCGCTCAGCCCTGCCGATGGTGCAGCATCCCGGCCCTGGAGGAGGCAGCAGGGTGCCCCCCCATCCCGGCCTCCCTCAGACTCTCCAGCAAGGGCAGCGACCTGGGCATTTCCATCCTGTCTTGGCTAAGATGCGCCCCCCTTTCAGCCTGACCTTGGCTGGTTCTGAGAGTGGGGTTCTATATCTGGCTCCCTGCCCTCCTGCTCCCCCAACTCCTGGCAGCTCTGCAATCTCTGGATATGTCACCCACCACCAGAAAGGACAAGCCAGAGTCATTCCCAAGGTTTTACCCAGAAACTCTCCTCTGCCCCTTACCCCTCCCACCCCCCAGCCAGGACACTTATCCCACACCTGCTTTAGGGAAGAGGGAGAATTCTGTCAGGTTGAACTCTCTAAATCCTAGGAAAATGTTTCCTTAATCATCTCAAGTCCCCAGGTTTGAGTTCAAAAGGAGGTTCCGGCCAGGTTCAAGCTGCCAGAAGACTCGCCCGATGACCTTCCAGGCTGCCTGTCCCCATGTATAACCATACCTGCATCTTGCTGGACATTTTTGGTTGCCAAGGAGGCTGGGGACATGGGCTTTCAGCTGGGCGCATGGCCTCCAGTCTAGGACAGCCCAGAGGGACAGGCAAGTGGAGTTGGGTAACTGCTAGTGTCCTCACTGGAAAAGTCCCTGATGCTGGGAAGACTGAGGCCAAGAGAAGAAGGGGCCGGCAGAGGATGAGGTGGCTGGATGGCATCACCGACTCAGTGGACTCGAGTCTGGGCAAGCTCCAGGAGACAGTGAAGGACAGAGGAGCCTGGTGTGCTGCAGTCCGTGGGGTCACAGAGAGTCGGACAGGACTTAATGACCGAGCAAGTGCCAGTACCACTCATGGACTAAGAAAAGGCCGAACAACCTGGCAATCAAGAGCTTGCTCAGGTTGGAAGGGCAAGCTCAGTAGCCACCTGACAGGGAGTGGAGGGCCACCGAGGACAGTCGACCAAGGTTAAGCATGAGTGGGTGATGGGGAGGTGAGCACATAGGACCCAGACGCCCGCACAGAGACGTCTGAGTCAAGAGAGATGAGAAAGAGAGCGGAAATCCACACGCAGCCCCAGCTTCTATTCTGGCTGCATCTTGTCTTCTCCCAGCTCGGTCTTGACAAGACCTGATAACTGCAAAATTGACAGATCTGAGCTTCAG